TCTCTATCCACTGAGCCAAACCGGTTTCGGCCCCAAGCAGTCTTTTATAACAGTCATTGTATTATTAATTTTGCCATAATTATTGACAAAAAATAGGCTTCATCTCATTTATGTGCAGAAGCCATCAGAGGCAGCGCTGTTCTTTTCCATCCTAGAGAAGTAGTTTGATGGTGGTAACTAAGGACAGGGTGGCAGAAGGTCTTTTGTCCTGTTGAATTTGAAGATTAACAACGACTTGGAATCATTGTTTTAAGGAATTATATTTGGTTTCTTAGTCAATGGAGGAAAAACAAAACCCGGAATCCTGATCAATCTTTGATTCCTGTCCCTTTACAGCTATTGTTTCATGACTGAGAGCTTTAGACAGCAGGCCGTGTGGGGGATCTGAGAAGTTGTTCAGAAAATCTGTCATTCTGTATTCCTTTTCTGGTTGTGCGAGTGGTTGAGTGAATACATTCGGGGAGAGTACACGGTTCCTCTCCTTTCCTCCCTGAGATGAATATAAATACTGCCCTTGGGACGTACATGAACTTCCTAGGGCGACCTGAACACCTTCAGCGGGGAATGGAGAGCGAAGAGGTTCTGAGGATAATACCTAAAGGAGAGGAAACTTGTGTTTGCTTTTTAAAAAGTTCATAAAAACAAAACAAACTTTGAAGATTTCACAAACAACAAGTTAAAGGAAAACGATAAGCATGCCCGGAGAAGAAACCATCGTTCCTCTGGGCTTGCACACACTTACAGCCAAGCAGCACATTAAATAAACACTGTGGCAGGAAAGTAAACAGAAGAGTCACAGCAGCACATGCAGTGCCTCCCCCTTTGCCAGCTCATAGACCTCCCCCTGTGCCGCAGGCTGGGTGGGAGTGCCGGGAGACAAAATGTTGACGTAGGTTATGTGTAAGGAGTGTCCTAAGAAGCACAAAAAGACTGATCGATTTTATGCCTTGCCTATCTCAGTAAATATTTTAACTGACATGGAGAAAAGAAGTGGGTAAGATAATAAAATTAAGGAAGTATGTGGGGAAAAAGAGTGGTGTTACTTCTCTCTTGCTACTACTTTTTGTTTTCAATTTTATTGTTTAAAGTATTACCAATAGTAGTACACATGTCTCCTTTTTTTTCCCATTGACCTTCCCCCGGCCTTGTCTGTGGTGTTTGCACTCACATGTTGCAGGCTTACTTTTTCTCTGGACTATCTGGAGGGAAAAGTCTAGTATTTCTCACTTGGCTTATTTATGTTTGGACTATTTTGTTTTTTCCTGTTTCTCTTTTTCAGGACTTTTAGCCTGAAGAAAATTTTCAGAAAGCTTTCATACTCACTTGCCAAATTAGTGATTCCAGCATCTTTCTCCCTCAAACTTCACCCTAAGGGTGAAACAAATTTCAATGACTGACTAATCAAAACAGCATGAAATAGGAATTCAGTTGAGGGAACAGAGACGAAGGGGAGAAGAAGAGGCATTTGCTTATTTGTTTAATAAAGTTTCTGTAATTCCGTGGATTTGTCCCATTACAGGACTGCCTCTCTTGCTTACCAATGCTGGCGATGTTAACCAGTTTGCCCTTGCTAATTATGAAATTCTGCAACCACTTAATTTGTCTAATTCTATTGCCACTGATCACCCTATTTAACTCTCTGGTGGTTCCCAAACTCTATACAAAGGCATGGACTCTGCAGAAACAGTACTAGAGGTAAAATAATGTTTTGTTCCTATTTGCACACACTCCTAGGCTCCTCACCAGGATTCAGAGTTTATTTTTGATTGGTAATAGGGGAGGAAAATAACTCCTGGAAATATTCTACCCTCTCCTCAGTTCTCCTGGCTCCCTACCTTATCTATTTTTCAGTGCCTGTCTTTTAAGTACCGTTTTCTAACCAATCTTCTCAGCTTCAAAGTTATAGATTCTTTTCACCTAGTCAGAATTCCTCTCCTTATATCTTTTGCCTTCCCAGAATTCCACCCAAGACTGTGTCCTACTTGCACCACATTTCCCTCTTCTTAAAAGTCATTCTTTGCTCTTCCTTCCACCGGAGAGCCCTGGCACTGTTATTGAAACTTCACTATTGTGAAATCCCTGAATCTTAGACCTCTTTGTCTGAAATCCACTTCCATGTTCGTGAGTCATAATTTGCCTCTTCACTCTGTCAGCCACCAGACCACTCATGTGATTCCCTGTCACGTACACAGGGGATTGTCTGTGGAAGCTTGGAGGGAGATGGAAATGGCATCATGGGTTGTGATGGTTCCCACTGGGATCTTTCTGGCATCCTAAACTCTAACTATGAGATAGAACTTCAAGTGTACTAGGAGATGGATATTTGTAGGTTTGTAGGGATATTACCACTACCTTAAATATTGTTTCACAGAGAAATTATTTCTGTCTTCTACATAAAGGGATCATAGAGAATCTTTTGTAACACACCCTCTTAATAAGAGACTGACGATAGATAGCAAAGCCAGAAACAAATGTAAAAGCTTGTCATCATTATTTTCCATGTCACATAACCTATTTACTATTTCCATTGAAAAGTGTTAAAGGTAGAACATTATAGAGCGAAATATGGAAAAGACCTTGCTTTTTTAGACACAAAAGAAAAATATCTATTTTTTTCCTGTTTGGAGCAATATTTTTATCTACTCATCATAACATTGTTTCACATGATAATAAGTTATTTTTAATAAAGAAAACAGTGAAGCAATTATAATTGCAAATTGTAAATAAAACATTTATTTTAATTATCATTGAACACAAACAATGATGGAATTGCAAGACAATTAAACATAATAAGAGCAGTGCTTTATGAAATACAAATGACATACAATCCCTCGAGTAAAATTTGCATATTTTAAGATAGCATTTTAACCATTTGCAATTGATATATTTTTTTTATAATTAAATAGGCTTTTAAAAGTATCAACACTAGTAAAAGTAGCATAATCAAAGAGCCCTTCAGGTTGTACATCAACATAATCAACCTGTGAAAGTTTAAATCTGGAATAAAAATCTCACCTAAGTTAATGGAACACACATAGCATGCCATGCACCTGTTCACAGCATATTGCCGAAAGCCATTATATGGTAATGAATGTGTAAGCAAAGTAGAAAGGAATGTAAGAATAAGAATAAGCTATTCTGTACAAAGTATAGATAATGACATGAGCATATTGAAACTGATTTTTACCTCAGCCTAGCAGGGACTTGGAAATCCATGCTTTCCAAAAATAGAGACACATAGAACACAGTTATGTTTCTTGGCCTGAGGCATCCATATTTCCTATACTGAATGTTTCTGACATGGCCATGAAAAGGAGTAGCACGGACGTCTTTCTAGCAGTACTGAGTACTCTGAGTACTCAAGCTAATGGTCAGTGGTTTCTCCCGTTCAGAGAGTCTCTGCCTGGCCATCTCTATCATAGCAGGGACTGTTCTACTTCTTAGCAACCAGATTGGGATTTCCCTGTGGGCTCTGAATCGGGCATTTGCTTCGTGCCATAACCGTTTACTGCTGAAGTTGGAGGAAGAGAATTTTCCGCAACATTCAATTGTTTTTGTAGGTTGCCTTAGTCCTGGACTGGTATTTTCATGGTAAACAAAGCACAATTCCTCTTTGCCTGAACTTTACAATTTAGTGAAGGAGCAGGTACATAAACAGGTAGAATTGTGTGACATGGGAGGATCCATGAGGTTGGGGGTGGGGGCCAAGGGTCAGGTTTAACTTCCCAGAGTTAAAAATACAAAACCAAACAAATTACATGAATTTAATTAAAACAATCAAAATGTTAAAGCGAGAAGTCATTTTTTTGTTTCTTCTATCAAGTAATTTATTTACCTGTTTTTCTAGTTTCAACCTGTGCCACTGTTGAGTTCCGCTGTGCAGATGGGACCTGCATCCCGAGATCAGCGCGGTGCAACCAGAAGGTGGATTGTGCAGATGCTTCCGATGAGAAGAACTGCAGTAAGACGTCTGCTCCTGTTCTGTTGCTCATGCCTGCGCACCCTTGGCATTGCATTGAACCCTGCCCCGCTTTCACTGAACCTTGTCCGGAATTGATATGTCATTAACCCCTGTTGTGAAGAATAATTGCTTATTTACTTCTTCAGTTAGGCCAACTGGTCTTGTCTCTATGACCTACACAGAAGGTTGATAATTTTTGCCTCTGAGGTATTGTTCATTTTTCTGTTTACCTCCTTGCAGATAACACAGACTGTACACACTTCTATAAACTTGGAGTAAAAACCACAGGGTTCATAAGATGTAATTCTACCTCACTGTGTATTCTGCCAACCTGGATATGTGATGGCTCCAATGACTGTGGAGACTATTCAGATGAATTAAAATGCCCAGGTAATTCTAGAAAAACAAAACAAAACAAAGCAAAAAAACCAAACAAATAAAAAACAGGCTTTGCCTTGAAAATATAGTTGTGTAGACTAAACTTACTAATTTTTGTTATGAATACTCAATGATAAGAATAAAATTTAAATATTCTAAACATGCCACTTTACTTTTAAAAAATTAATTGTAAAATGATACTCAAGAAATCTGCATTTGGATCAATTTCCTCTTTTAGTTCACCATTAAGCCTTTTAAAGTTAGTGATTAAATTTAAAATGTGTAACCTATAGCTTCCATAGAAGTAATATATACTGAGAAAATACTATTTATAGATTAAAGAGAGGGAGACTATATATCTCACCACTGGTTCTACTCAGTGTTATTATACAGTGTGCATTGTCTTGTTAGAAGGTTTGATGCAGTTTACACAATCTCTTTGCATAGTATAAGCCTTGTTATCATTACTGGGCCAAGCTTAGACAGGTATATTAAATCTTACTATTAATCATGTTTACTTACATAAGCTCTGGAAAGTGCCATCTGCATTCTTAGAAAAATGCCTTTCATGAAAAGGACATAGCCCCGTTTCTTTTTAACTGTTTGAAGAACAGTTAGCAGAATGTTCTTCATGTCCATCCATGCTGCCGCAGAGTAAAATTCTCTTCCTTTTTACGGCAGAGTAATATTCCATTGTGTAAATGTACCACAGCTTTTTTGGCCATTCTACTGATGTACACTTGGGCTGCTTCCAAACCTTGGCTATTGTAAATAATGCTTCAATGAACATTAGGGGTAAATATATTATTTCAAATTGCTGTTTTGGGTTTCTCTGAATAAATTCCCAGAAGTGGAATTGCTCATAACGCAGTTCCATTTTCAATTTTTTGAGGTAACTTTATACTGCATTCCACAGTAGCTACATCAATCTGCATCCCCAACAACAGGGCATGAGGGTTCCCTTTTCTCCACATACTCCCCAACACTTGTTGTTCGTTGGTTTATTGATGATAGCTCTTCTGACAGATGTGAGGTGATATCTCATTGTGTTTTTAATTTGCATTTTTCTGATGATTAGTGGCATTCAGCAGCTTTTAATATGTATGTTGGCCATCTGGATGTCCTCTTTGGAGAAGTGTCTATTCAGACCCTTTGTCCATCTTTAAAAAATATATATTTTTATTGATTTCAGAGAGGAAGGGAGGGGGAGAGAGAGAGATAGAAACATTAATGATAGGGAGAGAATCATTGATTGGCTGCCTCCTGAATGCACCCTACTGGGGATCAAGCCTGCAACCTAGGTATATCCACTCTTAGAGGTTATAATAATATGTGTGTGTGTGTGTGTGTGTGTGTGTGTGTGTGTATATATATAATAATTTCCCATACAACTACTTTTTATTCTCATATTTCTGCAAGGTGTAAAAATTTTAGAGATTATATTGTAACTTGTTTTTCTTCCTTAAAATAGAGAAAATTTATTTGAATCTTCATAAAGCATACTCAAACTATAGGGCAGTAGTAATATCAAGTCCACACTTTGTAAGCAAAGATCCACTCATATTTTTATAATATCATTTTTTTATGATTAGGGAATTAAGAATATTTTCCACCTAAAATGATTATTTAGCCTTAGGGTCATTCACTTTATACTCATTTCCTTTAATATCTATCTATATCTATATCTATATCTAGATCTATATATAGATATATATATTTTCTAAAACTCCACATTATTTGTATATAAACAGTTTTTCCCTTATTATAATCTTTCTTTAGATTTGATTAATATATCTTCCTAGTTTCCTCTGATCTGTGCCAGTTTTTCAGGTGTTCTTTTTGTTTGTTTGTTTTGTTTTGTTTTTATGACCTTTACATTCTTGAAGAGAACATCTTGGTTCTGTTTTAAGTTTTCTATTTATTTATCACCTATATTTCAGAAGTCTAAGATTAATTAATTTTTTATACTACATTCTATATTTTGTCACAGTGCAAAACAAACACAAATGTGAAGAAAATTATTTTGGTTGTCCTAGTGGAAGATGCATTTTGAATTCCTGGATATGTGATGGTCAGAAAGACTGTGAAGATGGACTTGATGAATTACACTGCGGTGAGTGAGACATTATACCTTGCTTTCACTTTATAAACCATATTATTATTTATATACTGATCTTCACTTAGGTATTTTATTCAAAATACTGCTAATTGGTTTAACATCAATTTTTATTTTTGTTAAGTAATACAAAATGGTATAGATTAAATAGAATATAAAAACTTAAAACAAAGAATTACAATCACCTGTTCTAGTCTTTTCTTTTAAACTTTTCTGTTTTTCTTAATTATGTCCATCAACTTAAATTGCATACTTATACCTTAATTGTTTTACTTATTACTTTTAGATGCTAATATATTTATTTTCTGTTATGAAAAATGAGGATTTAGCTCACACTATTTGTCATACTCCTCCTACCTATAACTGACTATTATTATTCTAAATGTATCAATTAATTTCGTGGATAACTTTAAATAGTATGCTTAAACTTGGATTTTATCCTTCATCACCTACCGTTTAATTTCTGTGTGTGTACATTTCATTTCACTTGGTAAGGTAAGAAAGCATTTTTAAAATTTATTTAATAAAACATATGGTTTTATTTTTTATTCCACCCCAGTATATATTTTATTGATTTGAGAGACAGAGGAAAGGGGGGAGATACATATATATATACATATACATATATATATACACACACACACACTAGAGGCCTGGTGCACAAAAATATGTGCACTGGCAGGAGAATGGGGGGGGGGGCTTCAGACCCACCCAGAATAAACAAAGACTATAAACTTTGTAAATATGTTTTTTTCTGCGTTCATATATATATATATATACACACACATACATATATATATATATATATTTACAGCAATTTATTTTGAAGACTTTAATTTGGAAGGGTTTTGTTTTTGGACCTTTCATGGTAATAAAAAAGCTGAGTGGAAGAATAGGCTGAAGGTAGAGGAGAGCAATCACAAACCTGGCTTTGGAAATAAATAAAGTGTACTATTCCTAATGCATAATTTGGTCATAACATACCAGCTGCCCTGCCAATGAATTTGGATGTTATTAGTCAGACTTAACATTTCTCAAGGGAGAGAAACAAAAACATTAAAATAATAAATATGTATAGGTATATTTAATCATCAAACTAAAACCCCATCAGTCACCTGATTTTTAAAAACAAAAATACTGGTATATGCTGATGTGTCCACCATATTGTAACCTTGCCTAGGATGTAATTTTTCTCTAATTTTTCAAAAATATATTAAAAATTATAAAGAATAACTAGGCCACCCCTGGAATATTTATTTTATATCTGTTCATCACACCACACTTTTTTTTTTTAATGGCAACCTGGAGTAGGGGAGTACCATCATAATGACTAGCTCCAAGTCAAACCCTGTGAGAACTGCATTGAAGGAAGAATGTTGCTAACATGGAAACTCAGAGGGAATATACAAGCTGTTGTCAAAATATTATAGAGCTGTCACAGAGAAGAGGAATTTGCCTTGGTTTATTATAGGATTGCTGATTTTAGTAAAGTCTGGAGAAGAATGTCCTTACTCTCATATTTGTCCTAAGATGGTCCCAAATATATATATTTTTTGTTTGCACCTCAATCAGACATTCTTGTTTGTTTTCTAGATTCTTCTTGTTCCTGGAACCAATTTGCCTGTTCTGCACAAAAATGCATATCCAAACACTGGGTGTGTGATGGAGAGGATGACTGCGGAGACGGACTGGATGAAAGTGATAGCATTTGTGGTGAGCTGTTCCTTTGTGCTCTCACTCCATTTTTAGATGCATGTTACATATGTCCTATCATATTAGAGGACACATAAGACCTTGTTTTCTAATTATCTTAGCATTTAATTTGTTTATACAGTTATATGTATCTGTTTTTATTATTTTTATGACAGTCTGTTATTCTATTTTTCTATATACAATTGTTCTTCAATGTTTAGGTTTCTTTTTAATATTGACACAGTGAACATATTTGTAAATTTTATTTCTAGTCTTCAATGCTATTTTGGAATAGATTTCAATAACTGAAATTATTTGGGTCAAATGATAAAAATTTTATGGCTCTTAATATGTATTGTTAACTTGCCCTCCAAAAGTTTATTAATTTATATAACACAAGCTACACATGTTACTTGTAGTGTGCGTTTGCATTATAGTAATCACTAGAGGCCCAGTGCATGAATTTGTGCACCAGTGAGGTCCCCGACCTGGCCTGTGGGATCGTGCCAAAACTGGCTCTCCAACATCCCCTGAGGGGTCCTGGATTGTGAGAAGGCACAGGCCAGGCAGAGGGACCCCGTGGGTGCACGATTTTGGCCAGTAAGGGACTGCAGGAGGGCTCCACAGCATGTCTGGCCTGTCTCACTCAGTTCCGATCAGCCGGACCCCAGCAGCAAGCTAACCTACCAATTGGAGCATCTGCCCACTGGTGGTCAGTGCACATCATAGCAACTGGTCGACTGGTTGACTGTCTTCCCCCTAGTGGTCAGTGCATGTCATAGTGAGCAGTTGAAGGGCCTTAGCATATCATTAGCATATTACGCTTCGATTGGTTGAATGGACAACTGGACAACCGGACACTTAGCATATTAGGCTTTTATTATATAGGATTAGTATTGATTTGTCTTCAATAAGAAATAAGGAAGGTGGCTATTATATATTATTTTGAAATATACTTAAACACACACACAATGTACATATAATGGGTTGTAGAACTGTGCACCTGAAACCTATATAGTTTTGTTAACTAGTGTCATCCCAATAAATTCAATAAAAAGGAACAAAATAAAACTTTCTATTCCTTCATATAAAATAAAATAAAATTCAGCTTTGTACAATTAGCGGTATAGTTTTAACATCTATATTTAACTAATGCTTGTTAACTACACAGCCAATATAATTACTTTTAAATAATAACAAACATTTAACAAATAATTTATATTGAATTAACTGGATTTCTTAAGGGGTAAAAAGAAGGAAGAAATATTATTTCTATGAATTTATTATACTTGACCAATTTATAATTTATTTATGTCTGTCTCTATGATCTGTTTCTATATATGTTTGTATTTATAGATATACTAGAGGCACAGTGCACGAAATTCTTGCACTGGTAGGGTCCCTAGTGGCTGCCGGCTGCCAGCTGGGTGCACCTTCCCTTCCCCCCTGGTCAAACTCCCCAACAACAATTTGCATACCCTGCTTTTATTATATAGGATACTCTTTACTCATCATAAAAGCTGTATTTCATAGCTCTTTCATCCTCATATTAGAGAGAAAAGCTCCTGAATCATTGAATAAGGTGCACAATAGAGTTAAGTATACTTACCAATTTATTAAATGTCAGATGTCTGGCCCACTCTTTAGGTTATGGAAACATGTATATAAGATTTTATAATGTTCAAGCTAACCTGAAGTTCTCTGGAAATAACATAAAATTGGAGCTATCCTTTGAAATCAGACACTTTATTTTCTTATATTTAAGTTAACCAAAATTTACTTTTTATTTATACAGCTGAAACAACTTAGCTATTCAACAGATAAAGCTAAATATAAAAAGATCGCTATGATAAAGCTCTGAAAAGAAAAAGAAATCAGCAATCAAGTAGACACCTGGCCAGTGCCTTTTAACTACTTTGTTTCTATTTGCTATTAAATCTTTCTTTAATTTCAACAGAAAAATTAGTTCCTTACAATGGTTTGGGCAAGTCCCCAGTCTTTACAATAATATTGTGTACTCTTTAACCCTACCTTAATGGCTCCATTGATAGCTCTATTTTTTTTCTGACTGGGCACTGTGTAACAAAATGGATAAATTACCTAAAGTCATACAGTGTTGAATTTTCCAGCTCTGTGATCATGGGCACAGGTCCATTTTATTCCTTATTTCTCAAATGTCTTACCTATTAAGTGGGTACAAAATGATCTATCTTTTTGTCACTCTTGTGATTAACTAACATGACAAGTGTGAATTTGTTCCCTTCTCTTTTGTTATATTTCTTCTGCTTCCTCCTTTATTTTTCAGAGTTATTTTCACATCTATCATTATTGTCACTGGCAATATTATTGCTGTGTCTATTGTTATCATTATGCGTATATCTATCAGTGTCCTGAGAATATTTTTTAAAAGATTAAAATCGTAAAGGACATGTTTACCTGTTTTCAAAACACTCAGTCAATTTAATATAATTACAGACTGAATTTTGTATACTAACCACCAAGCTGGTGACAAATAAAAATTACTGTTTTAGACCAAATATCAGTCAATGATCCAAACCTAATATTTTAGGATTGGAAAGGAACTTGATAAGTAGTTTATCTCAGTGGTTCTCAACCTTGAGTGCACAAAATGTCCTTCTCAGAGTGTGTTGAAATGTCGATTCTTAATCCTCATCTCCAAATATTCTAATGAGGGCTGTAAACACAATCTTCCTTAAGCAAAGATCTGAGGATCCTATTTGGAAATCATAGTGTAGTCCCTTTCCATCATTTGATCATAAAAAAAGAGAAACTCACAGAGGTTAATATATTTGCCGAGGTCTCAGAGGATCAGAGATGACAGAGCCAGGAACAGAATTTTGAAATACTAAATAAGAGAGTAACTCTTACCAATCAAACCTTGTATCTGCATATGTGCACAGGATGGATCTGGCAGAGTTCCTTCAGCTTGTCTTCCTTCTCCCTGGGGATTCATATCCCTGAGGAAGTCAGTGTGTCTTCAGATGAGTGGTAACTGAGGAATGAAGCCATGGGCTTTTTTCTTTGGGACATTTTCTTTCCAATTGACTATGATGTTTTGACATGCTCTTAACATAAAAACTATTGCACAGTATCAAGGGAGCCAGAAAATTAGCTGCATGAAGCCTTATGCCATTTCATAGTTTGAGGTATCTGACTAATTATGTAGTCATAACCTACATTTGCAGACAGTGAAATTCAGACGCCAGTCTTTTCCAAGGTCAGACAGAATTAAATTTCTCAACAGCCAAATCAATGCCATGTCTATTATGCCTACCTTGAGAATAAATTAGGGTAATAATAAAAACATAGGCCAGAAGCAGAAAAAAGTTCATTTTTAAATCTCAAGCTTAATAACAAAAATATTATAGAAATTAGAGCACAAATTGAGAGTATAATAGTGAAAGTTATACTATGTTCTTATGGCAAGCTTGAGAAGATAGATATGAAGAATAAATAATATAAAAATAAATTCTGTAGGAAGATAATTTTATTTTCAAAGGTACTAATGACATAACAGGTAGCAGATAAATTCATTTTTAAATGACAGCAACATTTATTTAATAGTTTTTATTATTTTCTCCAGTAATAGATATCATATTAAACTTCATTCTATTAACACTTATCCTCAATCAAATGAGCAAATTTGAATTATCTGGGGGACTTTTCAGCATTCATTTGCCATTCTGTTCTCCAAACTAAAGTATATGTCAAGGCAAGACCTATTTATGTTGGAAAAGATCACTAGGGGGTTTTGTTTTCTCACCCTGCTGCCTGCTCATATTACAACATGGCATTGAAAGCAATGGCATTTATGCTCCTAATAACTCTGTGGCCCAGAAGATGATATTGATAATCCAATAACCCATGTTTATTATTGCTTAAATGTTTGGAAACAAATATCTTTACTCAATCTACTCAGTCTTTTTCTTCCTGGGAATATTAATGTTTTCTGAAAAATCTTAACACAATGATTTTTAGAATCTTTTTTATGGGCAGCTTTTGGTCACAAGAAAAGTGAAATTAAAGACTAGTTGGATTTGAGGATCCAATTACTAATTAACTCAACAAAATCTATATATATAAAAGACTAATATGCAAAGTGTCCCCTCAGGAGTTTGATCGCTCGCTGTGATGTGCGCTGACCACCAGGGGGCGGTGTGGAATGAAGGAAGACCCTGGTTGGCAGCTGGCAGCAGGGGAAGGAAGGCACCAGCTGGTAGCTGGCAGCCGGAAAGCCCCGATCAGCCCTGATTGCTGTCCAGGCCTAGGGACCGTACCCGTGCACGATTTTCTGCACTGGGCCTCTAGTTTTTATATACTAGTAAATAACAAACAAAGGTGCCATTCAATATGTATAGCTATACTTGAGCTAAGGAAACATCCTGAGAAAAAATCATTTTCTCATTTTTCTTTTATGCTGACCCTATGCCCATGTAAGGAGGAACAAAGAGGAAGCCTCTATGACTTTTTGAATTTACAAGTCAAGCATTTATTTATTTTTTTTGGAAGTGTATATTTGAAAAACAACATCATTCAAATAAAGGGACATTAAATTGATAAAGCAGAGAAAATATAGGTTCTGTTTATCAAGTGTGTAAAAACAAAGAGAATATGCATACGTTTATTCTTTTCAACAACACAGAGTAGGGATTAGAAATAATGGCAGACGTGGTTAAGACAAGGTGCTTAGGTTTGCAATTTCCTTTTCTGTGAAATGAGGTTAATAGCAATTCCACTGTTAGGGGTTGTTGTGAGTATTAAATGAGTTATGATGTTAAGTGCAAATCCTGATATGTTAAGTTCTTTTAAACATTTCTTTTTCAGTTTATTCAAAATTCTGACATTTGCTATATTTTACATAAAGAAAATATCATTATTTTCAGCCAGGTAGCTTTCCTAGATATAACTGAAGTTATAAAGGAATGCATTTTGAGAGGGAAATGTGTAAACATCTATAGGAGAAGGATACTCTTTGAAGATTCCATGTAACTTCAGCCTCTTCCTTGTCAGCAACATTTGTCTGCCTCCCTTCTTTCTATTGGGAATGTCAATGGTAGACTTTTCCAGCAGACACGCAGTGACCTTCATGCATCTTTCCTTTGGGTTTCAGGTGCCATCACCTGTGCGGCCGACATGTTCAGTTGCCAGGGCTCCCACGCCTGTGTGCCGCGACACTGGCTGTGTGACGGTGAGCGGGACTGTCCGAATGGAAGCGACGAGCTCTCCACGGCCGGCTGCGGTACGGACACGGGTGGGGCTGTGTGTGTAGGAAAGCGGCCGCACATCCTCACACATTTGCTTGTGCTCTGCTCACCGTATCACATTGCTCTCACTTCCTCACCCCCTGGACTCACAGGTGGTGTCAGAACTAATGCGGTGGGATGTTCATCATAGCAGTTCCGCAAGCCCTCCGATCCCTTCAAAGCCGTTCACACGTGCACAATTGGGTGACGCATTTTAAAATCTTTTTTTTTCTTTTTGATGAACACAGATTTATCATTTCACTTTTGAGATAATGTAACTCCCTGATATGGGTGTGAGTGCGGTAGGGTTGTTACTTTCTATTTAGCATCTTCTACCCTGTCCCCTCTCCCCCTTCGTAACAACTTTTAGATTTGCTCATTCCAGATACTCTGTAAACGACTTCTGTGATCCCAAGTAACTACTGATCAGAAGGTCAGTGAACACCTATTAGCCCTATGGATAGGGTATTAACCCTCAGGTCAGGTAAAAATAGTGTGGATATAGCTGAATGATGCTGGGGGATCAGAGGTACACCTGTGGAGGTCACACAATTTACTATGTTTCTGACTCTAGGTAACCTCAGGGAATTTATAGGGAATTACTTAACAATAAAAATTTAGATAAATGCCTTTGCATGATCAAAAAAATGTAGAGACTGAATATTTGAATGTGGGTCCCAAGGTCACATAGGGAATCTGCCCAGCTGAGCAATTGATCAAAAACATGGCTGTGAACTCTGCTCATTAAAAGTGAATTCTGCCAACCGTCACTCCAATGACCAGCCTTCAGGTTTTGAAAACTGTATTTGAAGCCATAATGTAAGTGTGTGTGTATGTGGTGTGTGTATAAGGGGCATAGCTAAAGCAGAGAGGAGAAAGAACACTTTGAGCAGGCTTATGTGCACCGAGTCCATGCTACTGTAGAATAATTCACTTTGATCTTGAAACCGATGTGTGTGTCTGTAAAGGTCAATGGGGCCGCTGAGGGCTACATAATGAAGGATTGCGCATCAATTCAGGGATCCAGATGGTCCCAGTATAGTGTTGCTATTGTAACAGTTAACACTCTGGGAGGCATATTAACACTTTGGGCCACATGGGTGCTATTAAGTAAATTATTCTCAAATACAATAAATTGTTCTCGAGTGATCTGAAACTGTTAATGCCAAATAAGCCTCTGTTGCTTAGTGTTTTAAAGAACAATTCATGTATTAGAATTGGCATAATTCACTGGAGTTATATAAGCTATTGCACATTTCAAAGTTAGAGAACTTATTAGTAACTGAGTTTTACTTTAATTATAATGGGCAATTTGTAGTGCTGGTTCTATCTGGCTTTCATATTGTTTTTTTAAATAAATTTATTGAAAATAAATCATACTTGACTAGATTTTATACATATATATATATATATATATATTTGTTTTGCCTATTCATGTAGCTATTTCAGTCATTATTGAGTTGAAAGCAGAGGTTTTCTTTCTTTGTAGAGTTTGAGGCAGCCTTGGGTAGGGAACTGATAGGCATGTAAGAGAATAATTATAATACCTCAAGTGTTAGAAAAATCCTATATCATAAAAGCCTAATATGCAAATTGTCCCCTTAACCAGTTCAACAGCTTGCTATGATGTGAGCTGACCACCAGGGAGTGGCACAGAACATGGCGGGCATTGGCAACACACTGCAACCTCTCTCTGGCTATCTGGGGGCGGGGGTGACGGGACGGAGGTGCAGTGAGAATGTGGGGTATCCGAGCTTGCTCTCCCTCCCCTGCTACCCTCCCTGGGGATGCCAGGGCTCATGCACCAGGGAAGCCCCTCCCCACACCCGAGGTCAGGTGCCAGGCGGCCATGAGGAGCTCACCCCACACCCACACGGCCTCTTTAGGGCGCGCTGTGCCACAGCTGCTGATACCGCAGGGGCTGGTTGGGCTCCCTGTGGGTTTACGCAGGAGCAGGTCTGCGAGGCTGGCTGGGTGAGCACACACTGCCTGTCCATCTTCTGTGCGTCACCACTGGGCAGCCCAGAGGCCCAAGCTACGCCCCAGCCTGTGGTGTCCAGCTGCGCTCACCACATCTCGGCATGGGGACTCAAGCTTGGTGACTTAGGCAGAGGGGTGCAGGCAGAGGCCCGGGGGCCCAGGTGCTGCCCAGGGTCCAGAGGTCAGCTGGGATTTGCCCTTCCACAGTAGATGCTTGTACTTTGATCACCAGCCAGGACTAGGGATCACACCCGTGCACGAATTTCATGCACTGGGCACCTAGTATATATATAAAAGATACTAGGTCATCACAAAGAAATATATAAAAAGCCTAGACACCTCATGGAAGGGCTTCAATAAAAAAGCAAAGCTATAATCTGAGTTATAAAGTTCAAAGAGAAGAAAGAGTTATTTTGGATTGAGGAAGGTGCTTCTTAAGACATAGAAGGGAAAGGTTGGAAGGCATCTAAACTTTTTCAAGTGTTCATTATATGTCCATTATATTTGGTGGGTGCTTTTATTTACATTAGAGAATTCCCACAATATCTCAGTGAAGTGTTTTTGGCGATCTTCCAAAAATAATTGTCAGGTAGAAATTTAAAGAGCATCTAGGAATTTGAGTACATAAAATGAGCTGATCTGCTTCTTACAATTTACCTAGTTCTTACAAAAAAATTATCAGGTAGATTTTATTATCTTCATTAAGTGCATAAAGAAACAGATGCATAGTCCAGAGGGTGTGGGTCAGTGGTTGAGCATCAACCCTGGACCAGGAGGTCACGGTTCAGTTCTCTGTCAGGGTACATGTTGAAGTTGTGGGCTTGATCCCCACCCAGTAGGGGACATGCAGGAGGTAGCCGGTCAATGATTCTCTCTCATCATTGATATGTCTATCTTTCCCTCTCCCTTCCTCTCTTAAAAAAAAGAAAAGAAAAGAAATATGCACAAAGAAGATAAATAGCTTTCTCAGGATACAAATGTAAGAGGCAGAGTGACTTTCTGCAAAGCCTTTCTCTTTCCTGTATATGATGATGAGAATTAAGATATAATCAACACATAACATGGTATTAGTTTTAGGTATATAACATGATTTGATATATGCATATTTTGTGAAATGATAACTGCAATAAGATAGTGAACATTCATTATATAGCAGATTATTGACATTGGAAATCTCTCAGACCTTGAATTTTATCATAGCACTTATCCTTTAAATGTAAAATGTAATTAAAAAATGTTTATATGATCTCTTCAAACCTCTATGATTCCATGTACAGTATATAAAAATTTATTTAATCTGCACAAATTGCCATTTTTTGAACATCTGCTGAAATTTTAAAGCCCATTTTGATCAACCTTTTTTCCCACTGGTAAGGACCCTTGCTAGATAGAGCACAAATTTCATGGGTCACTTTTCTTAAAGGATTGATATTTTGTTTCCTGATTTAATGTGATACTTGTGGTTGTGCCCATCACACCTTAAGTATTAACCTATTTCAACTCTTGAAGTCACCTATTTTATTTTATTTTGAAAACAGTAACTTTCTCAGACTTTAGACTATTCTTTTACTTTTTAATGAGCATTGGCACTTGTTGGTATTTTCAGGTTCATTTTTTGACAAATAAAGCAAGGTTTTTATCCCTTACTAGCATTGGTGCAGAAGAGAGAAAAACTCCGCCACATTATTACACTTTATTAACTTTTAAAATTTTTATGTATGTATGTATGTATGTATGTATGTATTTATTTATTTATTTTAATCTTTATTGTTAAATCACGTAATGAACCTTTGGATTACACCTTTAGCAAACTTAAAAATTGCTCAAAGTCCTGAAATTTTGGGTTCACTCTAGAACACTTGAATGCATTAATACTAAAACTTTGAATTGCCTATCTATTTATATTTATTTTCATATATTCCAAAATATTAATAAATGTGTATTAATACATGTTATTAACTTATCTGATATGTTGAATGTTATGTAAAGTTTCATTCTAAATAACTATGGATTACTGAGTATAACAGCAAACATTCTCTAAGCTCCTAAGGTAGGGGAAGATAAAACAGGACCTCATCTGACTTCGTTTTTTGTGATGTCTTCCTTAGCTCCCAATAATACGTGTGATGAGAATGCTTTCATGTGCCGTAATAAAGTCTGTGTGCCCAAGCAGTTTGTTTGTGACCATGACGATGACTGTGGAGATGGCTCTGATGAGTCTCAGCAGTGTGGTAAGTGGACCTCAACTTCTCCTGGAAACAGCCTCGGGCTCCATATTAGTCTTTTTAAATGACTCAAAGAATATATACATGAATAACAAATACAAAGGCACACATTCGTGAACATCATGAAAGACATTTAAATGCAGTTATACACAGACATCCCACATGTAACTTCTTTAAGCTCCACAATAATTATGCATTTACTTGGAAATCATACCTTCTCGCCATGTATTCTTATCAGGAACTAAAAATGTTTCTAAAACTATATTTGGTTTTACGTACTTGGAAGTACACAAAGATTACATGCTGCCATCTATCTAGTGCATTCTTACAGCCAACTCAAATCTCTAAGTGGGAGAGAAAAGTGCAATTCACAACTACCAGGATAACTGGATACTGAGCATTTTCCTCTCACTTTATCTTATTGACACATGTACTTATTTCTTAAAATGTAATATTATGATGAGCTCAATCTTTTCACTACATTTATAAAGTGATAAGATAAAATTATATGTAGTGAAAAGATAAATCTATAACATTATATATTTAAATAAAATGTCAATACAAATGTGTACATAACTCTTTTTCATTTTTTTCTCTCTTTAATGATTAAGGTATTACATAGGGGACCTTATTCCCGCCATTTCTCCCCCATCCCCCCACTCATGCCCTCACTCCCCCTGCTGTCTGTGTCCATTGGTTAGGCTTATATACATGCCTACAAACCCTTTGGTTGATCTCTCCCCCTTACCCCTACCCTTCCCTACCTTTCCTCTGAGTTTTGATGGTCTGATGGATGCTTCCCTGTCTCTGGATCTGTTTTTGTTCATCAGTTTATGTTGTTCATTATATTCCACAAATGAGTGAGACCATGTGATATTTATCTTTCTCTGACTGGCTTATTTCACTTAGCATAGTGCTCTCCTTTTCTATCCATGTTGCAAATGGTAAGAAGTCCTTCTTTTTCACCGCAGCATAGTATTCCATTGTGTAGATGTACCTCAGTTTTTTTAATCCACTCATCTGCTGATGGGCACTTAGGCTGTTCCAAATCTTAGCTATGGTAAATTGTACTACTATGAACATAGGGGTACATATATCCTTTCTGATTGGTGTTTCTAGTTTTTGGGATATATTCCCAGAAGTGGGATCACTGGGTCAAATGGGAGTTCCATTTTTAGTTTTTTGAGGAAACTCTATACTCTAAACTCTGTTCTTCACAGTGGCTGCACCAGTCTGCATGCCCACTAGCAGTGCAGGAGGGTTCCTTTTTCTTTCCATCCTCGTCAGCGCTGGTCGTTTGTTGATATGTTGTTGCTAGCCATTCTGACAGGTTTGAGGTGGTATCTCATTGTTGTTTTGATTTGCATCTCTCGGATAATTAGTGACTTTGAGCATGCTTTAATGTGTTTCTTGGCCTTCTATATGTCCTCTTTCAAAAAGTATCCATGTAGGTTGTTTGTCCATTTTTTGATTGGATTGTTTATTTTCCTTTTGTTAAGTTGTATGAGTTCCCTAAAAATGTTGGAGATTAGGCACTTTCCTTTGCTGTGCAAAAGCCTTTTATTTTGATGTAGTCCCATTTGTTTATTTTCTCTTTAGTTTCCATTGCCCTAGGAGCTCTATCGGTGAAAATATTACTTCAGCATCTGTCTGAGATTTTGCTGCCTGTGGATTCCTGTAATATTTTTATGGTTTCCCATCTTATGTTTAAGTCCTTTATCCATTTTGAGTTTATTTTTGTGTATGGTGTAAGTTGGTGGTCTAGTTTCATTTTTTTGCATGTATCTGTCCAATATTCCCAACACCATTTATTGAAGAGGCTGTCTTGACTCCATTGTATGAATCCATACCTAACTTTTGAGGAAAAAATCAGTATATTAAAAATTCCCAGTTGAAGTTCTAACCTTATGTAAACCTACTCTTTTGGTTGTAGTTAAGCCTTGATTGTTATAGGTATCACTAGGAGGAATTGACCTCCAGGCCAATTGGCTGTGAGAATCAGCTGTGTCTATGGTGGGAGAATTTCTGTGCTGGAGACACCCTTCTGGGGCAAGACGTGCTTCAGTGGGGCTTTGGTGCTCACTGAGTCTGCCCCCTGACTGTGTCCCTTATGGATCTGAGGAGTTGTAATCTGGATGGTCCCACTCTGACCACTGGGTACACTGGCTCTTGGATCTCTAAGGAGGTGCTAATTTAGCCTCTGACTGAGGCTACCCAGCAGGAGCTACGAAGAGATCTGCAGATTCCTCTTCTTTGTTTGGGTGTTTGGAGGTGCCCAGATGAGGCCCAGTTGTGAAGCAATGCAAGCTGCTGTGGGCCTTCTTTTGGAAGTTCTGGGTCTCTCTCACCCAGCTGCAGTTTGTTAGGTAATTTTAGATTGCAAAGGGCCAGGCCATTCATATGCAAAAGCCTCTGTGCACAGCTTAGGTGGGGCAGGGTCTCAGGGAATCTACCTGATTATTGACCTCTGAACTAGGAGGTCATGGTTTGATTACCAATGGAGGCAAATGCTTGGGTTGCCGGCTGGGTCGCCTGTGGGTAGTTTGCTGGAGGCAGCTGATCAATGAGTCTCTCTCATCATTGATGTTTCTATTTCTCCCTCTCCCTCTCCCTTCCTCTCTGAAATCAGTAAAAATAAATTTATATATCTATATCTATATCTATCTATCTATCTATCTATATGTATATATATAGATATATATATGTATCTATCTATCTATCTATCTATATCTATATCTATCTATCTATCTATCTATCTATCTATCTATCTATCTATCTATATATATATAATATATAATATACTCAACAATATAGAAAGGAAAAGAGACAGCAATAGACTGAAGATTGAAGTTAGGGCTTCGTCTACAACACTTTGGGGTGGAACAATAGAGGACTGTACAGAAATAGAGAAAAACGGGGAAAGCAGAGAGAAACCAAGGTAGTGTGGTCAATGATGTCAAAGACTACAAGAAAATGAAGTAGATAAGAGTAAGAGACACCTTTGGATTTGACACTTGTCACTTGGTGTCTTAGCTCTGAGGAATTTCAGAATGTAGATGTTAATGAATCAAAGAAGAACTGGGGGAAAGTAAGTGGAAGTGAAAGAGAGATGTGTTGTTAAGAGTCATGTCAATGGACCTTTATTGTTTTGGGGCTGGGAGAACCTTGAATAGACATAGTAACACAAAAGGAGGAACTAGTGCTCAGGGAGAGGGAGGGAAAAAACATTAAGGAAGTTGGGGAGAGTTAGAACTATCTACTTTTGCCATTCAAAGTGCTAGATATCTCAAGTGATCATTGTGGAATTAGTTTTTTATTAGAATTTTGTTTATTTTTTAAACCATAAAAATGTTATTTTCTCTCTCCAAAAATAGACTATTTGCTTAGATTTACCAGAAAGTTTATAATAGAAATGACAGGTTTTATTATTGAAAAATTAGGGGAAAAAATCTAATTTAAAACTTGGTAACATTCACAATTAAAAGAATTTTACTCACAGTCAGGCATAGATTTAAAGATTAACAACTGAGGGGCTAATATTGTGATTTTAATAAAGCTTTTCAATGCATCTAAGAATCAAAATATAATTACAATACTTCTTATACTTATTGCTCTATAATTGAATTTTCATTTCCCTTATCTAAATAATTTATTTACACTTTGAATGCTGATTCCCAAACATAAAAATGACATTACAGCTTCTGAGAAGTATCGTTATAACTCAGAATCAGTTCATCCATAAGCTCTAGAGCTGCACCTACCCGAGCTTGGTCTTAAAGATAATTCTAAGAGCTTCCATCTGTTTTTCCTTCTAAGGGAACCCTTTAGAATATAACTAATAGGTGAACAGAGATGGTATACTGGAGTCCTGCGTTCTTGTGTTCTCCTCTAGAAACAGTAACAGTGCCTTGTTTGCAACTTTATTTTCTGGACTCCAGTGCTACTTCTCAGCCACAAATATTTCTTGCAAGTATGACCACTGTCCCAGATAGAAATAGAAACATTTCCCATAGGAGGCATTGGTAATCCACATGGTTAGTAAGGTATAGTGTAGATTAGAGGTTGCATTTCTAAATAATGTTTGTTATAGCCCTAACTGGTGTGGCTGAGTGGATAGAGTGTCAGCCTATGGACTGAAGGGTCCCTGGGTTTGATTTCTAATCAGGGCATTTACCTTGGTTGAGGGCTCTGTCCCCAGTACGGGGTGTGCAGGAGGCAGCTGATTGATGTTTCTCTCACATCAATGTTTCTAACTCTCTTTCCATCTCCCTTTCACTCTGTTAAAAAAAAATCAATAACATATGAATAATGTTCATTATATAAATAATATAAATTAGAATCTTTATTTCTTTGTCTCTAGAATACCGACCATGTAATGCAGAAGAATTCAGGTGTGCTGATGGACGATGTCTTTTACATACGCAATGGCAGTGTGATGGAGACTTCGACTGCCCTGACCATTCTGATGAAGCACCTCTAAACCCAAAGTGCAAAAGTGCAGGTACAGAAAATATATGAAGCTATGCTTGTTCCAAAATCTGTCTTTTTTTAATGGCAAAATTGTTACTCTGATTTGCTTAGTATGGTAGTAAATGAAAGGACATGCAAATCATTAAGCATTGATGTATCTAGTGACACTATGCAGAGTATAATAATGTTTTGAAGCTAGTTTTATAAATTTAGTATGTGCTAAAAACATGAAGATTTCAGGCAACGAACTTGATGAATCCATCACCCTGCCCCTTCAAAAAGGTCGCCTTTTCTTAATACATTATTTTATGTGACTAAAGTTTCCCGGCTACACTTCAAAAATTCAAACATAAAAGAAGTTGAGATTTACTGAGAGAAAGTCTGTGTTATTCATATTTAGGCAAAATAAAGTAAATTGTATATTAACTAAATATATACATAGCCAAATTTGGTTTATTGATAATTTCACCATTCTTTACTGAATACATAGTCAAATTTTTAGAATATATTTTTATTGATTTCAGAGAGGAAGGGAGAGGTAGAGAGAGATAGAAACATCAATGATGAGAGAGAATCATTGATTGACTGCCTCCTGCATGCCCCCAACTCAGGATTGAGCCCACAGCCATGCATGTGCCCTGACTTGGAATTGAACCAGTGACCTCTTGGTTCATAGGCTGAAGCTCAACCACCAAGGCACACCTGGCCATAGTCATGTATTTTAAAATAAAAAGCTACTCATGTAGTTTGCATGTTAATAAGTTTTCTTTTATCATGTTAAATAATGAGTAACATTCAAATCATCATGATAAGAGTAGCTGCAAAACCTGGACTACTTTCTGTGGCTATATATGGAACAACTATTATTCACTAAAAATGGCTTTTTTATGTCCTGATTTTTAAATGTCAATGTTATATTTCCAAGATGAAAAAAAATTAGTAATATCTACCTATTCTGGATTTGTAATTTTTAGTGACATTTAATTTCACAGAGACCTATGGCTTGAGGGAAATGTCAAACTATCATTACACTTTGATCTCAATTGTCACACTATAGATGAAGACAGAAATATTCCATTAATTTTACTATAGATGCATTTAAAAAAAAACTTTCTTGATGATTTTTAGAGAGGGAGGAAGGGAGAGCGAGAGAGAGATAGAAACATCCACGTGAGAGCAAAACATTGATTGGCTGCCTCCTTTATGCTCCCAAATGGGGATCAAATCCAAAACTCCAGCATGTACCTTGACTATGAATCGAACTGACGACCTTCTGGTGCATGGGACAGTGTCCAAACAACTGAGTCACGCTGGCCAGGGCTATAGACTCTTGTCTTGATGGTTAATTTTCATGATAAAGCAATGTACAGTGGGTTGAGCAAAAGTGCAGTTTGCTTTTGGTTTTCTCTATTTTGTGTGTAAATAGAAAGCATTTTACGTGTTCATATATTTACTCTGATTTTAGACAGATAAGTTACCATATTTGTGAATGTTTTCAACAACTATAGTATAAAAACAATGGCATGCCCTTTATATTCCATTCGTTTTATTTTCTTTTTCCAGAACAGTCATGCAACAGTTCATTTTTTATGTGCAGAAATGGCAGGTGCATTCCCAGTGGAGGTCTTTGTGACAATAAGGATGACTGTGGCGATGGCTCAGATGAGAAAAACTGCCACATAAATGAATGTTTGAGTAAGAAAGTCAGTGGATGTTCTCAAGACTGCCAGGACCTCCCAGCTGGTTACAAGGTTGGTATTCATCGAAAATAGCACATCACCGGATACGTTAGCATTGGATTAGGCAAAAATGAAAAGGAATTAAAAAAGGAAAGACTCGTGGACACAGACAGCAGTATGGTCATTGCCAGAGGGGAGGAGGTGTGGGGAGGCAGAAGAAGGCAAAGGGGGGATAAATGGTGACCTGGGGTGATAAACATATAATACAATATACAGATGATATGTTCTAGAATTGTATGCCTGAAATCTGTATAATTTTATTAACCAATTTCACCCAAGTAAATTTAATTAAAAACATAATCTGGGGGTAACGAAAACTTTTTAATCCAATATGGCTGTAAAATGTAAAAGGCGTCAAAATATTGTTAGGGCTCTGACCAGTGTGGCTCCATTGTTAGAGCTTCAGCCTTCACACCAAGGGGTCACGGGTTCGATTACCAGTCAAGGACACATACCTGGGTTGCACTTTTGACCATTGGCTCCACTTGGGGTGCATGCAGGAAGCAACCAATTGATGTGTCTCTCTCACATCAATGTTCTCTCTTTCTCTCCCTCCTTTCCTCCCTCCTGTATCCCCTTGCTCCCTTCCCCACTCTTTCTAAAAATCAATGGGAAAAATATCCTTGGGTGAGGATTGACAACAAATATATATATATATATTTGCAAAATTATTTAAATGGAGAGTTTCTATATATGCAACCCATAATAATAATAATGTGGTGTAATTTTGTGAAAATATACTCAGGGAGACAAAAAAAACCAAAATATCTTTCAATATATGCTGAACATAAAGAAAAAAAAATAAGAAAGAGAAGCTTAGTGTTTAGAAAGATTACTGCTATATTAATAGCTGCATTAGATATGTATGTAATTCCTAAGTTCCCATTTCTTCCCTCATCCTCCCTCCCATACACAATTGAAGTTAAATGGGCTAATCATTTATTTACCACAATACTGGAGAGTACATTTTTATTTTTCATATGAGCAGGGAAGAAGAAAAGCAAAACAAACAGAACACATGAAGTAGTAGAACTGAGTGCAGGTACATTAACAAAATAAATCATGCCTGATAGTCTAATTGCTTTCTCTTAGTACCATTTTCCTGAAGCGAGTGTTTCACTGACAAAACTGATGGACAGAAATAGCATTTTAAAGCATCTGCTTCATTCACGTTGGAATGGAGGATGCAAACAAACAAAATATTAAAATTAAAGTTGTGTATTCGGTAAATTGATGGTGTAAGTTGGGAAAGTCTCTGGGGGAGCAATTCATTGGAAATAGTGTTGTTGTTTTTTTAACTGAGCACTTGCTCCATGTGAATCACAATAGAGCATGGCTCTTACAAACACAGAGTCTAACGGCAGTTGGGGCCACTGCAGAGGTCAGATGTTGTTCTACTAAGTGTGGCACAGATCGGAGCGTACCTGGGTTACTGTTGACGTGTTGCACGTGGCACTTTAAGAGAAACCTTCACAAACTGTAGTGTATTCAAATTTGTACATCCACGAGCATACGAGGCCTGGAACACACACCTTTGGAAGACATTTTGCCTGGAATGAAGATGACTAATTGGCTCTATTCAAGTATATGAAGCACTGCAATAGGCAGCATATTTGCTCTGAGTTGTTTCAAAGGTTGGAATTAGAGTTAGGAGGCAGATTCTGTTCAATATGAGGAAAATTGTTCTAAGGTCAGAACTCTTTATATTGGAATGAGCTGCGTTATTTCTCACCACTAAAAGTGTTTCAGCTGCGACTAATGCCTTTCTTTAAGAGGATGATAGAGAAAAAAATGTGTGCATTGTACAGAAGGCTCGTTTTTCCTACCAGCCTTAACATTCTATGAGAAGCCTGGTCTTTATAATGGTCAATTCAGCCAAATGACCGTGTTGCCATTTTTAATCTCTGTATTTCTGTCATTATGATTAATTTAACTACATTGGTCAGGATTTTACTATATGTAGATACAATCTAAAAACTACAGTAATTAGCCCTGGGCTGGTGTCTTATGGTCCCTTACAGCATAAGGCTACAAGTTTGATTCCAGTCGGGGAATGTATGGGAGGCAACCGATCAATGTTTCTCTCTTACATCCATTTTTTTCTCTCTCCCTTTTCTCTCTCTAAAATCAATAAGTATGTCCTCTGGTGAGTAAAAAACAAAAAAAAACATAAAACACACACTCACTCAGGAACACTATCCTGTAAGTAACAGGGAAGCAAGACAACGAGATAGCTCTGAATGAGATGATTATGTATCAAATAATTAATTGTGTCGGTAAGTATTTGAAATCCAATGAAGCATAAAAATATGTTAGCTATTTATTTACAATCAATATAGAAATTTTTCCTGGAAAATCAGGGGATATGTCATAGAATTATTACCGGAAACTAAAAATTTTAAGTCATAAGTTATAATTAATTATTTAGTTCTGTCTACATAATATACACTATAAGTCTACATATCTATAGGATATATATGTGTGTCATATAATATGGATATCCAAAATGTAAATTTCAAGTAGTTTATTTGTGTTTAGTCTGTGTGTATTTAAACTTTGTCATAACAATCTTGGTGGTAAAATCTAAAAATTATAGAGTATCAGTTATAACCTTTTGCCATATCATTCAAAATGAAGTTTAATGTTTTTTTAAATGCCTGCATATGCTATATTTGGAAAATTACTTTTGGTAGCAGTAGATGTCACCCTGAAAAATACGTTAAAGCATACCATTTTAATCACTTTATAAGACTCCTTACACAAAAATATTTGTTTTTCCATACCTTTAAAGTATCAGTGTTTTTATTTTGACTTCTCTAGAAATGATTTAAGTGAGAATTCTAGTTGAAATAGACACTCTATTTCATAATACAAAAATTCTTTGTATATGATACCTGACAGAATTCTGTGAGTAATATTCCTGAATATATACACATCCCAAAACCGATGAATAAAATGAAACAAATGTGGGAAACAGACTGGTATAAAACTTTAAGGAGCAAGTTTAGAATCATAAATAAGAGGTTTAAGCAAAGGTTCAAACACATATTTTACATATATATTTACTGATAGGAAATTGAGTAAAAAGTCTCTGTACAAAAAAATGCTTAACTATTTGGGGGAAAAAATGTCAGATGGTGGGGTTTTCTTTTTCAGGGAATGGGGAAAACTTTCCAATAACTTATTTCTCAATACATTATCAGCAGTACATGTCAAGAAATCCACATTCTGCAATAAAACTAAAATTGCTGATGAAAGCAAAAATTAGATCTTATGAAATGTGAACAATTTATATGTTTGCTGTAAAACACATACAATATATCTATTCAAAAGAGAGTAATAACATTTACTAAAGCATGAATCTTATTTTGAAGGAAAGGGAAACTTACCATGTGAAAAATAAAAATACTTCTGAGAGAGAAAGAAGTTTTAATGTATTCATTAGAAATAAAATAATCAATGTTTGTCAAATATCACATTAAAAACTCACAAAAATATTCCTGAATGTAACAGGTAAATTTGGGTTGCTATGTTTCTTTCTTCCAGTTTTATGATCTGATATGAAAATTAACACAAAGCAGACAAATTTGAAATAGTTCTTGATGAGTAGGAAAATTAAATTTAATTAAAATTAAAATTAAAATTATAAATCCCACTTTCATAAAAATTGTCTTTTTAAATGAAGGTGAATAAATTTTAAACCGTTATGAATCTCTCATCTATTGTTGAATATGCAAGTGATTATTATTTCTTTTCATTTTGTTCATATAGGTCAGGCTAGTAGAATTTCTCATAGATGTTTAGTAATTATTTAAGAGTAAAAATGTTTTTGTTATAACAAGGTTACTGGATTGGGTAGTAAATTATTATTTTTTAAAAATATATTTTATTTATTTTTTACAGAGAGGAAGGGAGAGGGATAGAGAGTTAGAAACATCGATGAGAGAGAAACATCAATCAGCTGCCTCCTGCACACTCCCTACTGGGATGTGCCCGCAACCAAGGTACATGCCCTTGACTGGAATCGAACCTGGGACCCTTGAGTCTGCAGGCTTATGCTCTATCCACTAAGCCAAACCGGTTAGGGCAGTAAATTATTTTTTTAAAATATTTTTATTAAATAAACAATTAAAAAACTTACTGTAAACCTTAAACATCCCAATTCCATTTGCTTATAGAAATGTGTAATACATTCAGTAGCATTTACCAATTTTACTTTCAGGAAATTAATATTCCATAAATGTGGTTTTATCTAAGCTGTCTATTTGATATTGTAGTTCTATAAGTCTTGATATTAGCCATTCAAAGTTATTTTCAGAAATCCTGTTAAAATTGGGACACCGTTTAAGTTTTTATACTTTTTGAGAGGGATTCAACATAGTTTATGCAACTTCTTTCCGTTTGTTCTAAAGTGCCCTTGACTTTAGCATTGCCCTGTGTCTGCCTATGGGTCTTCTGGCTTCCTGACCACATGATCGATTACAGGGTCTAATTTCCAGTCCTTCTCAGTGACATCTTCTTGTATCCTGTCAGTTTCTCCTTTTTAAAAAATCTATTTTTTAATAACTGTGATAACATACAGGGTACCCCCCACCCCCAAAATGTGTACACACTTTAATAGCCGATAGCTCCATTGCTGTTTCTTTCTCTTCAGATTTTATCCTCTTGCCTTTCTACATCAGGTAGTAAGTTGTCTTCTTAATTACTTCTTAATTACTTGGGAAAGTAGTATTGCCACTGCCTAAGATATGAGAAGGACTTGCCCAAACTGCCGTTATCATATCTTAGGCTGTGACAACCCTACTTTTCCAAGTATTGGTTTTGCTTTGATTTGCTGGCTTGCTAGTGGGTTTTATTGATTAACCACAGCACAATCCTTTATTATCGCCTAGGATTGTTAGATAAATATTGGTGAAATTCGTTAAAGAATAAAGTGCTAAGAACTTACAGGAATTTAGTTCCTGTAAAAGGACTTAGAAAGAGGTATTTATCTTTTGAACAGCTTCAGGTGAAGTTGATGCTTTCCCTCCTAGTAATAAATACCTTCTTGTACTTAAAAAAATTCTAGCCCTCGATTAATTGTTGGCTGACTATTTAACAATATGTATACATGTATCTCCTATATTATCCTAAAAAATATAAAAAGCTCTTCTGTTACCTTTACCCTTAAATTATCTAAATTATGAAATGTTTACTATGGCTAACCCTTAACTACTAGTTACTCTTAATAACTTAAAGTTCTTTCTTAATTCACTGTCCCACACAATACTCACAATTTTCTTTATTCAAAGACCACTAAATAGCCTTGGTAAATGTTAATATGACCATAATCTTCTGGCTATTTTAGGTTCATTTTGTATAATTAGAATTTTCATATGCTTCTTGGCAAGGACTGAATACAGAACTGAAAGACAGTGACCAATCATAGCACCTTATTATTTCCAGGAATTCAAAAACATATTTGGCATGACATTGGACGCAGAATTGACATGCCAGTTAGTAAATTTTGCAGATCATCCTCAGAAGCTCGTGTAGAAGATCACAGAGGTGCTGAAGAAAAGATTTGATGATACAAATTTATTTAATAATGATGGAGAAACTCTGTTATTATTAGTTTTCCAGATAATATCAACATATCTGATTATAGAACCAGACCCAGTTGATAAATATTAATTGATCTTTACTATGTGTTAAAAAATTACAGACAGCCTCAGCTCTCCTCCTGGCTTTATCTAGGCAACTTCACCTTTGTTCCTCTGCGTTTCTCATCAGTTAACTAAGGAAAATAATACTTACATCATAAATTTCTGTAAGGCTCTAATAACATAACATGTGGTAATGTTAGTAATCTTCAAAGTTCCACGTAAGGTTTAATTCTTATGATGGTTAAAGTCTTCTAAAAAGACAATATAATGAAATAGAACAGGAATGAAAGTTGACAGTTCAGTTCTGTTGTATTTGTCATTCTCTAGTTGGCTACGGTGATATCAGTTAACTTTTATAGTCTTCCCAACCTCAGATGTTCAAATGAAGATATTTCAGAGATGTTTAACTTTAACTTTATATGATATTTGTAATGCTTATTGAAGTTTAATCTCTCTGTGTGTGAGACAGAAAGATTTGCCATTACCTTTTGTGGGTTCAGTCATGTTAAAGGGATATCCAATAAGAAAAGACAGTGACAATGGTATGAATTGATTATGCTTGTTTTAAATTCTGCAGTGCAAATGCTGGCCTGGATTCCAACTGAAGGATGACGGTAAAACGTGTGTAGACGTTGATGAATGCTCTACGGGCTTTCCGTGTAGCCAGCGGTGCATCAATACATATGGGACCTACCAGTGCCTCTGTACAGAGGGCTATGAAATACAACCTGATAACCCAAATGGCTGCAAATCACTTTCAGGTACCAAATTGAACTTGTCCACTGATCCAACCTCAGTTACACACATGGATTCTGAATTTCATAGCCATTTTATTAAATTCATTCATTCTTGCTATTTCTCAGAAATCAAAATTCTTCCCTACTTACCTTGATCTGGGATCTGGCATTCTGATTTTGTGTTGTCCACAAACTGCTCTGTTTATAATAATATTGCATGATGGTCTTGTGAATTTTTAAGGGTTTTTCTTTGTTTTGTTTATGTTTTGAGAATGTTCACAAGAAACAAGAACAATCTCTAGCATTGCCTCCTGCTGAGTCACAGGTGCTTAGGAGCAGGCTTGGCCTCGACCATTAACGAGCCCATTGCGACAGTGTTCTTACAGTTTTTCCGTCTTCTCTACACCACACACACTCACATAGGCATGTCAAGGAGAACAGCTAGTCAATAATAGCAACAGTAGCAATGATGACAACAATAATAAAGCAGCAATGTAAGGTTACTTGAATTTTTCCAGTGATTCAGCAAAATTATTAAACTTCTCTTTGTTCCAAATAGTGTGATTGTTTGTAAAGTAAAAAATTCAATAAAACATGACCATAACTGAAAAATATATTGTAATTTTTAGTGAAGATTATCACATATATTAAAATTATACAAAGCAATATATAATAATTACTATTAAAATGGATAAATAAATGGTACATGAGGTGTTTCTATCACCCTTACTTTGCTTTGGAGTATAATGAATCAAATAACACTGCCAGTTTCTTTCAAAATACATCCTGGGGACAGCATTTAAAACACTAGATGTTTTCTCATCTACTATGGTACTTTCATGAAATAATTACCAGGAATAAAAAATAATACACAAAATCTCCAAACCAGTCAGTTTCCATTACTGTAAACTTTTCATAAAAGATTATATAAAGGCGATGAATGCTAATGATCAAATTTGGGCCTTGTTATATCATATATCCATACTGCATTTATTTTCCATTAACAATAATAATTCAAAACAAATAATAGTGGTGACACAAAAAGGAAGTGTTACTGAACGTAAATATTTGCTAAAGAGAGGCTAGATATTTTTCCAAAAGTATTGAGATATAACTGACATATAATATTGTATAACTTTAAGTTATACCATGTATTGATACACATATATTGTAACATGATTATCACTATAGTGTTAGCTAAGACCTCCATCACTTCACATTATTACCATTTACTTTTGTGGTGAGAACATTTAATATCTACTCTCTTTGTAACTTTCAAGTACATATTACAGCATTGTTTTCTATTATCACAATGGTGTGTGTTAGGTCTCCAGAACTTATTCATCTTCTAAATGGAAGTTTATATTCTTTTATCAATAACCCCCATTTCCCCACCACCACCACATTCAGACACTAGTAACCTCCATTCTACTCTTTGTTTCCTTCATCCATTTTTGTTATTCATTCATCCTTTGACAGACATGTAGGTTGTTTCCACATCTTTGCTCTTGTCTGTAATGCTGCAGTAACCAGGGATAGCAGATACATATTTGGTACCTTGTTTTTATTTCTTTTGGACACATACAAAGATGTGAGATTTCTGGGTCATATGGTAATTCTATTTTTAACTTTATGAGGAAGCACCATATTATTTGCTACAGTTCTAGCACCAATGTACATTTCTGCCAACAATGCACAAGTGCTCTCTTTTCTCCACATCCTTCCTAGCATTTGATATTTCTGGTCTTTTTGATGCTATCCATTCTAACATTGTAGTTTTGATTTGCATTTTCCTAATGAGTATTGCTTTTGTGCAACTTTTCATGTACCCATTGGCCATTTGTGTGTCTTCTTTGAAAAAAATGTATATCCATCTCCTCTGTCTCTTTTATTGATTTTTTTGCAATTGAGATTTAGGAGTTCTTTATAAATGTTTTGGATATTAACCCCTTATCAGACATGATGAGCAAATATTTTCTATAATTCCATAGGTTGACTTTTATTACACTGTTTCTTTTGTTGTGCAGAAGCTTTTTGGTTTGATCTAGTCCAATCCATTTACTTTGTTGCTTGTGCTTTTTGTGTGATACCAAAATAATTATTATCAAGATCTATGTCAAGAAGTTTATTTTTTACATTTCCTTCTAAGAGTTTTTTGGTTTAAAGTCCTACAGTTAGGTTGTAAAGAACAGAATTGCTTAAGTACTGAGGTAGAACATGACTGATCAATTTTATATTTAAATGTAGAACTACATGGACAAGGATGACAAGGCATCTTCAACTTGAGGGCTTACTCTGTTGGGCAGGGTTCTAAGTCTCAGCTTGGCCTCGACAGGAAGAGTGGAATGACTGATGAGGGCTGATGGAAGCGATTGTCCAGCATGTGTAACACATGTTATTAGTCCTTGACATAGAGTACGTTAAATTATAATATGTTTCCGTGTATATTATATGTTTACCATAAAATAAAAGATAAAGGGAGCATAAAGTAATAATTTAGAACATAAACAGGACAAAAACTGTAACTATTAGTGCTATACAATAAAATTCACATTAGATTACATAAAGTGACTTTTTATTGTTTTTTTTTTCTAATTTCTGCTGACATTAAATTTGCTTACCCAGCAACTAAGTATATGAATACATCTTAGAAACAAAGGTATTTAAAGAGAATTTGAACAAAATTTTTTATTGAATTGATCTAGGATTGTAACAATCAAGAATGTGGTCAAATTGATTTTAGATTATTAAGATACATAGTCAAGTCAATATACCATACAAAACTTTCTGAATATCTTTTATTTAAGAAACTAATTTGTTTCCAAATAAGTTCTGATGATAAAACCAATTGAAAGGCTTAGAGAATCTTTACATATATGAGAATGGTCAGGTTCTTATTATTATCTTTCCTTGTTTCTGGAACAAGTGAGGTACTAAAAGATATTGGACAAACAACAAGAAGGAAATAAAGACTACTAAAAGATTTTAAAAACAGACTCATAAGGAAAGGTACAATTAATAGATAAGGATTATAGATGCTGTACATCTAAAATGATTTAAAAGAAGTCCCTAGGCAGATGAAAAAATGTGTATGTAGGCAATGATACTCAGTTTTCACTGAAGCTATTCTGAGAGCAAAAAGTAGTTATTTAATCATAAAAAATGAAATAGTTGATTATATGAATATTTAACTATACTGTAGGTTTCTAAGATAAGGGTAGCTTATCATTTTTAAAAAATCATCTAAAATCAGATTATAACAGCAGGTATTTCTACTAATTTCAAATAAATTAGATAACCTATTATTCAAAGGA